GAGAGGGTGAAGACAGCGAGGATTCCACCCGCTGAATCAACGGCGCATGTCTAGGTAACCTTACATCACCACAGAGGCCGGCGGCAGTTTTTTTGAGGGAGAGGGCGGAAACAAAGAGAGGGTTTATCAAAGACCTATAGGTCAGGTATAGAATATATCGTCGACTGCAGATGCCTTCCTCCTCATCTGTATCAACCTGAAAGGCGACCTCGTTCACCCTCTCCGGATCGCATCGATCTATGACTGCGTCTCGGAAAACCCCCTACTGGCCCCTCATTCCGGAATCGATACCTTCGTGTTGTACAGAAAGCATTCTTAATTGGAGTTTTTCATCAGCTTCACACATCATTGCTCAGCAACCGCGCCAAAGCGACCCCAGGCAAGGGGTTATGACCCGACTCCCCGAATCGCATCTCCCCGAATCGCATCCCCAGAATCGCATCTTCCCGAATGAATTCTCCCCCAATTCAGGCGCGCTGCTGACTCATTTCAGGCTGAGCGGAGCTTCTATGATTCTAGAAGAAAACTGTGGTGAAGACTAAACGTAAACTAATATCGATCCGAGTGCTATGAGCGCTGTGAAGCGGATAAGACGAGAGAACCGGGAGCGAATCGGTTTACCTCATTCAAAATGCTGTGAGTTAGAGCAGAGGTTCCCAACCGGGGTTCCACGGAACCCAAGGGTTCCGTGGCGGATTGCGCGGAACCCCAAAGTCTACCTGCGGAACCCCTACGGAACCCCTGCAGGAACCCGTGGAAGAAAAAGGTTGGGAACCACTGAGTTAGAGAACTCCGACTCCATCGAGCAATTCGAGAGTGGAAGTTCCTTCGGTTCTATTCTGTGAGTTCTCGTACGGGTCTTAGCCTCCGGGATCGATATCCATGAATCCGAACAGATTAGGGAAGAGCGTTTGCACCGATGATGATCTCGTAGATGGAACTCGCTGAGAATCCCGAGATATCAACAGCAATCAGAAGGAAGTTCACGTTCTTATCCCGTCATGTCTGGGAAGAACCCGTGAGCAGGCTTGGCTGCTGGTTTGATTTGCTGTGGCTTCGATAATCCGCCGGAAGAATTGAAAACTTGCTTCATGTCGGACATTCTGGACAATCGTAGGAGCTTCGCTGAGTCCTGAATAGGCCAGCAGCGCGCCCGAATCGGGGGAGGATTCATTCGGGGAGATGCGATTCTGGGGGATGCGATTCGGGGAATCGGGAGTGTACCGGCAAGGGTGGATCGAAGAACTACAACAAATTGCATTGAAATATGTTGAGAAGAACTAGATGATATGCCCCCCCCCTCCAACTTATGCATGGCGTCCTGTTCTCTCGAGAAGTCGACCAACTTGGTCCGTGTCATCCCGTAGATGATCCTCCGATCTTCAATGAGGCTGAGGTTTCGTGGCTGGGATCTCAGTCGTCACTACAAATTACCGAATGTTGGAGGAGTTTTCTCTAGATCTTGATTATTGATTGTGATCGCTCACTCTCTTGTAGATCGAATCCTTGTGCCTCCCCACACTTCTGTATAGTACATTATCGCAGTGCTAGATGAGGAATACTCCTAGTTTTGTCCAGCTGCCAGGAGCCGTCATGAAATACTGGTGTAGAAGAGATTTTCGGGAGATGAATGCCAGACTGATTGAGATTATTTTTTTGATCTCTTTAATACCTAGCTCTGCTACCGTATGAGTAATACGCATATGGGTGGAGGGCAATCGAGATAAAATCTACAATCAAGTGAGCGAACATCAACGAGAGACCAGCGAGACACTTCTACCTCTCAGTATGAATACTCACCAATGAGACTACCTAAAACCATTCAACGTTATTGATAACGGGATTCCCGGAATGAGACGGACCAGGTTGGCCGTCTTGGACGGCATCGGCTAGCACCATACGCTTTGCGAACCAGCTGTACAAATCATCCTCGTCGATCGGCTCTTGTTCTTCTTCTTGGAGGGCTTCACCTTCAGATGGGGGATCATCTTGCAGCATGCCTTCGCGGACGTTCCTGACCGATTTGATATAGTCTCCACCGTGTAGCTGAACAGATTCCACGTCATTTGCAAACGGGAATTCCGTATTCGTCATATATAGGCCGCAGAAATCAAAGTTCGGAAATCAATCCAATTCCGATTCCCTCTATTGACTCTTCGATTCAGCGGGTAGAATCCTGGCTGTTTCCGCCCTCTCCCTCGAAAAAACTGCCGCCGGCCTCTGATGTGATGTAAGGTTACCTAAAGATGCGCCGTTGATCCAGCGGGTAGAATCCTCGCTGTCTCCACCCTCTCCCTCAATTAAAATGGCCGCCGGCCTTTGTTGTGATGTAAGATTACCTAGACCCGTTTGGCCTTGGCCCAAACCCACCTTAAATTTTTCTCTCGTTCGACCTAGTGACGAAGGCTCTGCCCATCTCTGAAGCCCCGTCTCGGAGACGCAAGTGGACCATGTACCGTTTCCGCATGCGGGCAACTTTCTCGTACTGCGTCCGGCGCCTCTGCAGGTACTGGGAGGCGACATAACTGGTTTCCGGTGCGCCGCCTCTCGATGACATCTCAGCATTTCGGATGTCTTCGCTCGTGACCTCGATGCAGTCCCTATAGAAAATTGAAATAAGTTTCCATTGTCAATGCCCCACTGTTCTAACCTTTGAGAAGTTTGGTCTGATGGTCGACCTGAATGAATAACGAGGAAATAGATACTCACAGGAGTCCATCGAGGATGGCTTCAGAAAGCTCTGTGGTTCGTTCCGGGTGAGGAATGAGTTTGTTGTGAGAGATTTTCCGATCGTTCCGCTACCTGAAAAACACGGGCAAAATTGTTTCCTGTAGTCAAGCTTCGAAGCGAGAGGGAAGAGAGACTTTCTTTTTTTCTGGGAATCCACTCCGCTTCGTGACTCTCCTGCCCGGTAGCGTAGTAAGGCGGGGGCGGACCGCTCCGGGCGGCACTTCCTACGGAGCTTTTAGGGGCGGCATTTCGAGGTTTCGCATCCAGAGAAACGGAGTGTTTTCGAGGAAAAATATCTGGCGGGGGGCGGCATTTTCGTCGAGCACGGTGAAAAAACGGAAAATTTCGAATCACCGCCCAGGGCGGCACTCCGGCTCGCTACGCCACTTCTCCTGCCGTGACCGAGTGTTTCTCCGTTGAAACCTCCGCTGCACGACTTCTATACCGAAAACTAAGCAACGAGCTGATATCTGGAAGCTTTCGGAAGCCGATCACTCTCAGGTTGAAGCAAAGCGCCGGATTACTCGTTCCAGAATAGTCTCTCTTTATTCCTCACAACAACGCTCGTCATGGTAGATCTTCTAGAAAAATTCAAACTTGTAGCTTATCACCGGTGTGGGATTGACATGAAAGACGCGACTAATCGGCTACGCGGCCGCTTTCAGCATTTTCGCCATAGACGAAATGAGGAAGTCTCAGGTCACAGGGGTTATTGTTGCGCACATTCCGGAGGCATCGCATCTGTTCCGTCTCCGAACCCGGGAATTTCCATCCCCGGCTGTTTACATAGTAGTTCCGCCGGAAGATCTCCGAGTGCTTGCATCTTACTGAGCAACTCGAGGATGCGGCGTTGTCTGTCTGCCTTCACTTCTTTCGAGTCGTCGTCCTTCTCGCTGTCATACTCCTCGATGATTTGCTTCACCAGGGCGTTCTGCGATCCGACTTTCGTCAGTTCATCTTCGGAGAGTTTCTCGCGATTCTCGTCGATCCACTTCGGTAAACTATCGTGGATGTCCTTCAGACCTGGATACAGAAGGCTCTTGGTCAGCACCTCATCGAGTCCATGGGATAACATGTCTCCGAGCGGCTCTGCTCCATCGACGTTCATGTTCTTGAAGACGTCACGTGAGGAATCCTCGGGGTTGAATTCACCGCCTTGCTCTTGGAATCGGTCGAGTGACTTCGTGAAGAGCCCCAGCGTTTCCTGCATGGCTTTGGCCAACCCGGAATCTTCGCCGGCATTCTCGGCGTTCAGCATCGGATTCCCCTTCATGAACGTACTGAGAGATTCCCGCATCTGATCGATGTTCAGTCCGAACGCGGCCGGGTCGTCGGTGAGATCAGCTGCTGATGCTGCCGCCTCGGACGACTCCGCTGCACTCGCATGCGCGACCTTCTGCGATTCACTTTCTTTCTGAGCGTCGAATTCGTTGAGGGCTGAATCCAGCAGGTTATCCAATTCGGAGTCGACTTCTGGTTTGCTCTCAGCCATGGTGATTGACCGGTGCGACCAAGGATTTGGCCGGAATTCGGAGACTCGAATGTTTCGACACGATCACCGAAGGCTTGCACAGTGCTCCGATTTCACACTTGAGAAGATGGACGGGGTTCCGTACGTCAAACAATTCGCGAAAAAGTGAGTTTCCTCCTTTCGAACTGCAGAGGCAGACTGTCTTCGGCTCGGTGCTCGACGACGATGGAGGAAATCTGCTGCTATGATTGTGGTGACCGAGGAGGGCGCCGCTAACGCTCTTCGGTGGATGAATGCGTTGCAGATTGGTGTCGGCGGTTAAGAATTGCCACCGACTTCGGTACAGGTATAATCTGGACGGAATCGACCTGAATATCGCTTCTCCGAGCTCCTACGACTGACGGCAATGATTCCAAATCTTGGGAACGTTATTTCTCACGTTCGGAGTGCACAAACAATGGGCTCTAGCCCACAATTGTCACTATTCTGCCCCAGAAGATCAACTGCACGGGAACGTGGATAGCATTTGAGATGATTTCCCGAACCGCCTTAAGAGTACTTCGGCTCGAGCTTCGAAGTCGCCACCTGTCTCTCTCTTGGGGGAGGGATTTTCGGAGAGGGCAGATTTAAAGGCTAGCAGGTGATCTTTTCTGTTGAGCGAGTCAGCCGGGGTAGGAATTCCGAGCTCTCACAGACTCCTCGGGCTTAAGACATGATTTCGCAGGGGGGATCGAAACGACGGACTCCAAGGCAGCTTGGACCTGCGGTGTGATCTTTTTCAACATTCCGCGATAACTTTCTTCTCCTCTGAAGTGGTACATCCCTGATGTGATTCAATAGCTCGACGCAGTCAGAGTTCTCATGTATCTAAGCTTCACGAGGGACAGATCAGGAATGATCGCTGGATGCGAGAAGACGATCATGGCGCAGTATCCGAGGTGAGGGGGAGAAAAGTCTCGTGGCTCCCACAGCACCGCGCGAGTTATTTATTGTAGGGTGCATCGACGTCATCCAGTCTTGCGCTAGCGAATTCGAAACGGGGAAAACTTCGATCAGCAAAACGGTCCTGAACTTCAGTCCGAACGCGGCCGGGTCGTCGGTGAGATCAGCTGCTGATGCTGCCGCCTCGGACGACTCCGCTGCACTCGCTTGCGCGACCTTCTGCGATTAACTTTCTTTCTGAGCGTCGAATTCGTTGAGGGCTGAATCCAGCAGGTTATCCAATTCGGAGTCGACTTCTGGTTTGCTCTCAGCCATGGTGGTTCACCGGTGCGACCAAGGATTTGGCCGGAATTCGGAAACTTGAATGTCTCGCCACGATCACCGAAGGCTCGCACACTGCTCCGATTTCACACTTGAGAAGATGGACGGGGTTTCGTGCGTCAAACAGACACAGATCGCTCTTCTCCACCGACCCAGAAACGACATGCATAAATGCGGCGTGTATCCGAAAACAACTCGAGCACGTAATCTTCAATTGCAACGAATGTTACTTCACGACAGACGAACTCGCAATCAAACTGGGTTTGACCACAGAGCTTAATCGTCATGCCGTGGAGTCAACGAAGCGCCTCCTCGAAAAATGGGAGCGTGAAACCTCGGGATCCGCCGAGCCAACTCGCGCCTGAATCGAAAGGTTGATGTGTACATACTATGGTACCATCTGATCCAAATAAACTATTAAACCATTAAACAATTCGCGGAAAAGTGAGTTTCCTCCTTTCGAGCTGCAGAGGCCGACTGCCTTCGGCTCGGTGCCCGACGACGATGGAGCTGCTATGATTAAGGTGACCGAGGAGGGCGCCACTAACGCTCTTCGGTGGATGAATGCGTTGCAGATCGATGTGGACGGTCGAGAATCGCCACCGACTCCGGTACAGGTATAATCTAACAACAAGGTCTTCCAGCAAACATCTGACTTTATTGAGCTAGGTCCCATGCATGGCTCCCGGAACAGAATTACAAGCCTTCCCGCGTCGGGAACACTCGTCGACATATCGAAACAACATATCCAACTCGTTTCACCGAGTCACAGGCTCTCTCTTTATCTGGTGAATAGGATCTGGGAAATCCCCTACATCTTCGACCCCCTCGCTTTGAAGAAGTTTGCCACCGCTCGCATAGCTTCGTCGGATGTGAATCTCTCTTCGAGTCTCTTGCATTCCTCCTCGTTTGCTTTGAGCAACGCTGCCTGATGGGGGGCTCGCATCAAAGCCTTGGAGTGCATCAACGATTTGGGCGGTTGCTTGCTAATATAGTCCACTTTCTTCTTACATTCGGCATCG